AAAGGGGTGAATGGCACCTTCGTCATGGGCGGAGAAGCCAAGTGGATTAGGGATTGGACCGTCTTTGTCGAGCAATTCGTCGAGTCCGTTACCAACGCATTTCATGAGAGCGAATGGAAGACGAAGGTCACATATGCGTAAGCAATGTTGCTTCCCCATGCCGTTCCAAAAGATCAAAACGGTTCAAACGTTCTTCTGCTAACTGGTTAACTATAGCATCCGCCTCGCCACACACCTTTACGCCGAGCACCTTTTGGACCGCGATCACTACATGGACTGGCTAGTATCTGGCCTGGAAAATAGCAATCATGCTAAACTACCATTGTGGCTCTTAATTATTCACATATACTGGAAAGATATTCTGAAACTAAGGAGACATGGTCGGCGATTAGTTAACGCTATTCTCTCCCATCACTCCTCTGTAAGTCCCCTCAGTAATGATGTCAACTTTTCTAGCCACCTAACCATGTAAACAGATATATTACCACCCTGACCGTGACATATTACTTCCTCTTGCTACTCGCTTACAAGCTTTAGTAGAGTCTCTACTGATAACTAGCCCCGAAAATTTTATATGCCCCGCAACCTGGTTAAAATATCGCGACTGCTTAGCCGAGATCTCCGGTGCGAATAACAACGAATCTAGATCGAGAGCTCTTAAGGCAATCGACCTACGTAATGACTATTTAACGAGCTCCAATGCCAAATCGCAACCGGCTCTTCGAAGCATAGTGGTACAGCTACTCGACAGCATATACCGAACGCCCCACGACGATGCGATCACTAGACAATTGTGGAAAACGAGTGAAAACAAGCCTTCAATAGTGAGGACTATCTTAGAGTGGTGCACTTCGTTGTATCGACCTGGGGTCGCTAAGGTGTACATTGCGGCGACACTGCTTCGTTCATCGACGGAGTTCGATATCGATATTACGAGAACCGTCCTAGAATTTTTAGACGCCGACCCACTACAAGAAACTGCTCGAAAACACCTCGTCTACCACCTTGTGTCGGAGCTGGCTCGATCCGGTCACTTTTTAATTCCACAATATATCCAATGGCTCATAGCTCGTGGTGGTCTCTTGGATGCTAGCCAAACAGCTCCAGATGGACCATGCATTACTAGACTTCTCGTCGAGATTCCTATCCACTCTCTCAACGAATCTATGAGGAATTTGAGGGCAACCTTGTTGCGAAGGGCACGTTTTTCGGTAGAGGATGAGGCCCAGGATATTGCAATGGCAATAAGTTGTGTTAAGGGCACGCTTTCCATTCCTTTAGGACCAGACGATATCCCAGCGCAAAAACCTATGAGCCTTAAGAAGCTATCAAGACGACTCGAGTTGAGTAGCCGTTCTCTCAAGACGACCATCTCTTCGTGGCTTAGCAACGATTTTGTCGGCGGGTTTGCCCAAAATCTGCAGTCGGGAAAGGGGGGCATGGAGTTACCTAAAACGATGTTCGAGACGATTCGGACGCTACTCGAATCTGCCGAGGATTTTACTATGCTGGAGAATGTCCTGAAGATGTCTGCGCCATGTTCTAGCACGGAGCTTCTCGCTTGTTGTACTGACACGGTTAATCTCCATTTGCCAGTATTCACGGCGACCGGAGCTGCTAAGCCCCTCTTCCAGCTTCTATACGATCGACTGAAGGTGACCTTAGAGCAACAGGGTGTAGGTGCCCGGCCACTGCTTGCTTCTCTTGCCGACTTGGCATCACGTTTGACTGGTCTAGGCTTGGAGGACGTGTCGGCGCAATTACAGAATGACCTAGTCCGGTTAGACCGTAGTAGTGCCGCTGACGCTTCATCCCCGCTGTCTGATAATATGGCTACACAGCTCCAAGATGTCGAAACAGAATTAAGCGAACAGATAGAGAAACTCGCCACTTACTCAAGCGCGGATAAGCGAACGATGGAACACCTATTCTATGCAATCGCTAAGAGATTGCAAACTTACTGGGGTAAAAAGGACGAACGTCAACGACTTTGTTGCATCCTACTCATGAGGCTACGCGTATTCGATATCCACCATTTCGGAGAACTTATGAGGGATTGGGTGCAACACATTCGCCGGCTACCGAATCGAAGACCCATTTCTGAGCTATTTCCGCCTCTTTTCAGCTCAGGCTGTCTATCTCTTCCCATCTTGTTCTCGACCGCCACCAGATCACGTGTTCAAGCCACACAGGTTCCGAGGACAACAGGATATGCTTCCATTTATATGCAAGAAATATTGCAGATGTTGATGACGCCATTTAGCCCGAGCCCAATTATGACATCAGAAGACTGCTATCGCTTTCGCATTATCCAAGATCGCGCCAGACGCGACCATGCGAAGGAATTGATGCCCCTAATCCGCGACGCACTAGCAGAATATTCAGAATCTCGCAATCAACAAGCACTGATCGAGCAACCGCTTGAAGATGAGCAGACTAAGGATCGCCTTCTCGAGCTCTTCAGAGATCTAGTCCTAGTTGATCCGAGCGCTGCCAGCCGAGTGGTTTCGCTCAAAAGCCCCGAACCGAAACTAGCCGCGCTTATCGAGAGGTGGACTACAAAATTACTGGTTCCTCATGGCGGCGGTGGACAGAAATCATTTGAACAGGTGCTGGAGCTGGCGAACGAATTTACCTTGCCTTTCTGTCAGGTCAAGCTTTCATTAAACCTTGCACTCGACGAGTCCAGTGGTCCGGAGGCATCCGAGAGAGTTCACTCGCAGTTCGAGCTGCTGTCAAAAGCTCTTGACAATGCAATCGACGCCAACAACATCATGTGGACCGGCATGCTACCTTCTCTAACCCCCGATATTACGCAACACATGAGAAACCGAGCCGAGTCTCGTTTTCTCGATATAATTCCGTCTCTCAAGAATCCTCCGGACGAGACACTACGTCACAAGGATATTCATATGGCAGAGAATTTGCTAACGGTGATCGATTCAATTTTCCGGGGAGGATCGGGATCAAGGGTATCACCGCTCTCTAGTGCTTTGGTGGATAAGCTTGCCGATCTGTGGGATATTCTAGCCTCTCGGGCCAACGAATATGCCTCATTGAGAAGTGCTGTACTTTCACATTGGCTTCCTCTGCTATTCTCTTACCTGACTTTATACACCTCTCCATCCGCAAGCGCTGTAGACGCGTCTAAATTACCTCTAGCTGGAGGCGAAGCCCGCGGCCGTGCTTTGATCGTTCTCGCTGGCCTGGTTCAAGAACTTGACAATCATCCGTCGTCAAACCTAGGACAACGGGCTTTCGATATTGCACTCGCGCTCGTTGATAGCTTATCCGAAGAGGCGCGCCTGCTATGCGTGCGGGCCGTGAAAGATACTACCGCCGACCCGAGACTGAAATATTTATTTAGCTATGCTCCAAACCCAGCTGAAGATTTCATGTTGGCTCATCGCGACAAGCAGCCGACCGGAATTCAAGAGAGAAGGGCGATGGCGATGGGCATGAGCATGATACCCGAAAGATTAACGCCTTTCCTCTTCAGGAGGTGGGAAATCCTCAACGAGCCTACCCCTAATGTAGGAGAGAACGATACAAGCTTGAGCTTGACGCTATTCGACGCCCGGAAGATCAAGTAAAGAGGGTTTATGAGAGAGCTCATCAGCTCTCCTACCTCTAATGCTTTCTGGCATGTATCGAAAGAAGGGGGTTCGCACCTAATTACCTAATCATCAACTGAACCAGAATAACGACTATGCGACTCCAACATCTATAATTGACGTCTCATCTTTATCTACATATATATCCTATAAAATTAGTAACTATCGCATCACGGCCTTCGCGAGAAGAGCAGAGAGGCCTTACATAGTCTCAACAACAATCGCGTTTCCTTTTTGTCAAAGTCTCTTTTGCTGTCTTACTCATCATCATCATTATCATCATATCATCGCGCGGGGACACTCATGGCAATGACGATTATGAATACATACATACATACATCTTGCTAAGCTTTTTCTGGGTTCTTGTCGCGCTTTTTTTTTTGTCTGTCTATCACGGAGCGCGTATCGAATCGCGCGTGTCGAGTCACGCGTTTTTGATACCTGGGCGGGAAACGATGCATTTCCAAATCGGCGTCTTGTCCTTTTTCCATCTTCCTTTTGAATTTTTTGTGTTTAATGTGTGTTTGTGCTTGGGAGAGGGGTTCTGGGGCAAGGGGGTATGGGTCCGGGTTTGGCGGTCGGCTGGCTTCTTTCGGTTACGATCGCGGTTGCGGTCGTGTACGGGGGAGCGGACTATGTGTTTGTGTGTATAGACGGTGGTGGTGGAGAGAGAAGAGGGGATGTAGGAATTGAGTAGTAAGAGGTGAAGAGAGAAATGCATTGAAGTTACTTCATCATCTTGTCGTGTCTGCTGTGAGATATGTTTGTGTTATAGAGATTGATGTGAGGCGGCTTCCTCGGTGACGCGTTCTGGTACCGGTGCTAGAGCAATACATCTGACGTGATAGACGATATTTTGTAGACTGAGGTTGGCGAGTTTAGGCATATGGGTACCTAGGTAGAGTATATAGAGATGATGATTATGAGATGATCGTTTGGCGAACGTGTATCAGACGTGTTAGTGCTTCATGAAACCTCTTGCACGTGAAAAAATCAACGCGTATTTCATACCTTCGATTTGATTACATTCTCTATGCATTATTTATAGTTCTGTTTCGATGATGTTTACCCTAGGTAGTACATAGGACATATATGTCTTGGGAGATTACCTTAGCAATGACATATGTGCTTGTATCGTCGCCGACAAATATTCTCTTAAGCAAATCATCATCGCTTGCGAAACAACTTCCCAAACTTCAACATCTCAACCACCAAGTCGCAGAGACCACCCAGAGACTGAGGATCCAGTCTATTCCATAGGCAAATAAGCCTATTGGGTCGCCCACAAACAGTGTGGATACGAATCTGAGCACATATATCCCAATAAGTCGCCCTCCTAACAACCATCCGTCCAAGATTCTACCCAGGTGTCAATGGATTGGCTAGGGCTTGGTGGTCTAGTGGTATGATTCGCGCTTAGGGAAAAACCCTACAGCAATGCTTGCGCGAGGTCCCGGGTTCAATCCCCGGCCAAGCCCTTCTTTTTGCTCTCGTGGCCTTTGTTGTTGTGTTTTTGCGTTGGAAGTTCCCTTTTTGCGCGCGTTATGGTACGGATGGGGTTGTGGGCGTGGTGGTGGACGTGAAGTGGATGCGGGATAGGGGCTAAGGCTCCACAGTTAGGTTTTGCGTGGTATGTGGATGGGACCGAGAACGGGAGAAAATTATTGGAATAATTAGCTTCTCAAGTAGGTGATTATATAAAATCGAGGCTTCGGCATCTACCTAACAGATATGATATAAAACTGCTATATCACGCATCTCTAGGTAGGCATATATGAAATAAATACAGCTGTACAATGAAGAAAATCGATGCTCTTGACAGCTACTTAGGCGTCAATAGCACTAGTGGTTGAAAGATGTTGATAGGATATTGCCCAGAAAATGACATAGTCGATGCTATGAATCCTATTCTATCGGTCAGCGAGAAAGTACCTACCTAGTAAATTTGTTGGTTTTTCCAAGAAAAGAAAAAGGCAACGGAAGTGGTGCCTTTGGAGTGGTTGTGTCAAAGAGCAACACGGATGGATGGACGGACGGACGGGTTGAAATTGACTTTTTCAGAACTAGAAAGATAAATTAAAAAAAAAAAAAAAGAACCACGAACTTACTGAAAATAGATAATTTTGGGGGAAAAGTCGCGAAGGTCCGGAGGACTAATTAGCCCTACCTACCATCGCTGGCTTCGAGGAATGCCAGGCCATATTTTCGCGATCCTGCATAGAACATCGTTGCGACGCACCGGTTCAAGGAGTCGCAATCCCAAAACTGGTGGCGTATCGGGACAGGGTACGATCGAAGCAAGAATGCCGCCCTCTTTTACCAAGTCGGCGTAATGACATAATCTCTCCAGTGCGCCGCCGTACCAGCTTGTCTAAAGGTATCGATACTCCCCTCTACCCCTTCCGGCCCAACAGACCAAACACCGTCCTCCACCATCTTACGCCAATGGTCGAACAGACGCTCCAGCCGTTGCGGGCGGTAGTAATCGCCGCCTAGAGACTTGTACCCATGCTGGAATAGCTCGGTTGCTGTCCCGGGTGTGATGAACGACCCGTCGCTCTTCCGCGCGCCGATCCCGTCATCTCCGATACCTCCTGCTAGGTTATACGGTAAGAGAAGCCGGAACCCTTCTTCGGTGTTGTCGTAGGCGTTACGCTCGACCGACTCGCTATACACGCCAGCACGGACACGAGAGGGAGCGCCGTCAGCAGATCTCGCGCAGAAGTCGTTGCGGAAGGGACTTCGGTACCCGGTCAAGTCGGCGAGCGCAGTAGTCGCGGCGGGGAAGAGGAGGATTGGGGGGACGGCTTGCGGACTGCGCGGTAGTTGGGCGAAAGGCTGCGACGCGGCGAAGTCGGACGCGTCGGCGGGCGGGAGGAGGAGGCCTGGGGCGATGGAGCGGAAGCGGGGCCGGCGCGCGCGGGATAGGAAGGCGTGTGTGAAGGAAGGATCGGGTACCGATGCCGCGTCTAGGACGGAAGGAGCGACTAGTGGTTCAGGTTCGGGTTCGGCTACGCAGGTCGGAGGGTGCAGCGGTGAAAGGCGCGACTCGATGGCATCACACAACCGATCCCACGCGTACACGCACGAATGGACCTGCGCTTCGCCGTAGGGCCGCCACTCCCATGGGCCGATCTTCTCGACGCCGAATAGAGCTGGCTCGTCTCTCGGTGAGGCCACGACCTTGCCGAGTCGGATCAGCTCAATCCAGTTCGAGAGCACGGTCTCGAGGGGATACCAGAGCTCCGGGTGAGCTTCGACGAGCAGCGCGAAGTCGTAGTCGTCCATGTGCATGAACATGGCCGCGCGGTGGATACCCTGGTGGTAGAACAAGCCGCCGCCGAATTCCCCTCCTTGGCCGATGTTGGGGAAGTACAAGCTCAGCAAGCTGTCTTCCGGCTCATCGTACAAGTCAGCGGGGTGGTCAGCGAACAGGAAATCCGGCTCGGGGAGCCCGTCGACCCAGAAGAATGTGGGTGCGGGATCGCCGTCGGCAGGAGGGAGTATGGCGGTGTCGAGGAAGGATGCTACGGAGGGGTGGAGACGGGGCCGGAGTGCCTCGGCGGCGGCGCCGTGGGTGGTGAAGAAGGTGCTGCTGCGTAGGTCGGCTAGGTCCCGGCCTTCGGATTCCCAGGCGTATTGCACGAGGTAGTTGTGCAAAGCTGCGCATCGCACATGGTCCATCCCCAACTGCAAATCCACACGGGCTGGGTTGGCGGCTGTAACCAGCAGGCTGTCCACATTAAGGATCCATAGCCATGATTCATTCACCTGGACTCGGACACCTCGGAACTAAGGCTAGCCAACGCCCCTCGGGTTCTCAGGCAATATTGATAGCCCTCAATCCCGAACAGCTCCCCTGAGAGGAGACTCGCCGTATGTCCGAGGATAGCAGGTAAGAGATGTAAGAGATAGGCAGAGAGGCAGAGAGACATTCCGTGAAACCATGCACCGCCACGGCCAGTTACATAGTACATAGTTGTGGCTTTACTGACTCATCACTGCATCTTGGCTACCCCTAAGGCTTAAGCTTCCTGTAATTTAGAGCTGCTTAAGGTTGTTTCTGCATACATACGTGCTTTAGGTTAAAATACATCAAGTCCTATATCACATCACCAGAGCTTTCATACGGATAATAACGCTTCGTAGTTGATGCGTTATATGTGGGGTTACGAGGCATTTTTTAGAGTTGTTGTGTTAATAAAATTCTGGCACTAGATTGCTTTACAAGTCGTTTCGCGATAAAATACAGAGTACAGTGATTGATATTACTAACCACACGCCTTCGCGTCATGATATGCAAGCCACAGCGGTCCGGAGTTCGCTAATGATGGAGTTTAGGACAAGCAATATTAATAATCACTCACTACAGACTTGACATCACTCCTTTGGGTTCCACGTCTGTTCGTAAATTCGACGGGGAAAACAGCGGATAGAACCAATACAGCCATAAATTTGGAAGGTTCTCTAGAAATGAGAAGTTGAGGTACCTGAAACTCATGTTTTTAGATAGATCACAAGAGCTGGTGCATGAACCAGAGGTCCGTCATATCATCTCATCGTCCATAGAAAATGAAGGTCTTCGAGCAAAGCGAGCAAAAATAGCTCCATATGGCTATATATCGAGGCCAAAGATCCAGCCAGAAAGCGCCAAGTAAAACCTTTCATATAAAGCGCAAGAGCGCAAGACCGCATTATCAAGCCCTGAACACCTTAACGCCGAGACTATCTACGAACCTGCCTAATATGAACAACTTCCAAACAACGACATGTTCCCAGCTCACCGCTTTACATCATAGTCTGTCTCCCTGCTAGACACACTTTCGGCTCCTCGGCAACCAGCGCCAAGCGAAGCCGTATCCGTACCTTGCATACAAAATCCCACGTAGCAAATGACATACATAATAGTTCCTAACCTCCCCTACCTATATAAACCGCCTTAAGCAAAATACCTACATACAGCAATTGAGCTACGTCGCATAAAACAGGGGAGCCGCAAGACAGGGGTACGAGACAGCCCCGGGACTTCTGGAACGAGGCTTCGGCTCGCTCGACGGTTTGAGATTCTGCCGTAGCCCAAGTCGGGTTTGGCCAAGCACCGTAATATTGGTAAGCTACTGAGCTATAATCTTTATTTCGCTTAGAACACGAGGTGACCCAAGATTTGGCAGTCCGTGGTGTCCCCCCAGCTTTCTCGAGATCTAGATGGTTTTGCCCTCATCTCAGCTGCTGCCAGATCTAAAGTCATAGAATAATATTAGATGTTAGCAGATATGGTATTCGAGATCGAAAATCGACAAGTAATCACAAATCGCAAAATTCCCATGTAAAGATCAGTCGCAGAGTGAAGTTCACAGAAGACACTAAATATTAGTTTCTGATATATGTGCTTCCCATTCCCTTCTAGCTATTTAGACTACCCACTCCATATCACTTCCACGAAAAAAATAAAATAAAAGAAAATACTAGGTATGGAAAAAGCAACCAAGCCTCATGAAAAAATGTACACGATCGGAGCTTTGGTGGTATTGGATCATTAAAAGGTAATTGTCGTAGCCCCCGACCGCCCCAGGACTCTCTATATTCTGCCACACACAGCGTGACATTACATTAAAAAACATCGGCCTTGGACGTCCGCGGCGAAACAGAGAGCCATACGAATCAAAAACGAGCTGGTACCGTCACCCGGCAGAGAGTGAAAAAAAAAACCTCCCTGCCAGGATGATGTTTCATATCTTTCCTCCTCCCTGGGTCACAACTATGCCGCTAAGCAGGCTTTCTGTTGCGCTTGGCAGTCGGAAAGCTTGAAACTAGCACCCGCATTGGATGCGTCGTTACAAGCGTTGTTTTGAATCTACGAAACAGTCAGAAAGAGGCCGGGAAACTCTGGGGGATTGGAATACTCACATCGCAGGATCTCTGCTTAGCAGAGGCCTGGTCCACGAACGTGTTCCTGTAGAGAAGTGTCAGATACAATTCGTAGAGGCGTAGAGAATTATACTGACCCGTTAACAGCAAACGGCCGACTGGCATCTCCAGATTTCGTTATCGCTGGAGCTGCGCCGCCAAGGTTTTTAGTCTGTGTGGTTCCCGCGTTAGCATTACTGCCAGTGCTAGTACTTGTGTTCGATGTATTACTTTGGCCTTTGCCAGTTTGTCCCTTTCCTGCGGCTGCGGCGGCACCAGCATTCGCCTTAGCACCGGCGTTGGCATTGTTGCCAGCGTTCGCGTTGTTGCCCGCATTTGCGTTGTTACCGGCGTTTGCGTTGTTTCCAGCGTTGGCGTTGGCATTGCCACCAACTAGTTCGAATTAGCTTTTTGAATAAAACAAATCATAGCTGTAATGTGTCGTATTAGCTTACCAGTAAACTTGTTGCAGTCGTCCTGAGCACCACGCTGAGCCACGGGCATGAGCACAGGCTGGTGGTTAGCGGAGGAGAACATAGTGCAGACACGGTAGTTTCCAGCGGGGAGACCA